ATCAAAACACTTCACCCTTTAATAGAGTCTGCATTTTATGTATTTGCTACAGTTAAAGCTCAATAAATATTAGCTGAAGGTATAAATTGTGAAATTCTGATTCAGAAGAGACATGAAGGGACATGGTATCTTTCATTAGTGCTTTTAAAGAGTTATTTTTGTTGACTGGTAATTAAAATATGAAAAAGAACAAACTGGTTTAAAAAGTATCTTTTCTACTAAAATAAAACAGTAAATACCTGAGAACCTGAGACATGTTTTGTGCTTATATAATTGTAATCATTGTGCCATCCTTTACCTTCCTTCATACCTTCAAATTCTTAATTTATTCATGCATTTGTTATTTGTCTAGGTGGCCCTGTAAACATCTGAATTGGCAAATTTTGTTTTAGGTAAAGAAACTGACTTCACAAGTGTAATTTCTAGAATTCCCTCTGACAGGGAGTATTCCAAGGGTGTTGCTATATCACTGTTTTGGTTTTATTTCCTTCTTGGCTTAATGGCTTTCATACACAGACTTTTCCACATGTGTAAGGGGTCTGAAGACTTTGAATAACAAAACAATATTAAATCATAAGTAACTGGAAAAAAAATCTAGTATCAATCAATACTTCAGGGAAAAATCAAACAAACAAGTAAAAAGTACCAGAAAAGATGCTTTACCTTATGTGCATCAATAAGAACAATGCCTCCTTTCTCAAGTGGTTCCTTTGTTCCCATTAACAATTTTCCATCAAAATATCCCACTGCAAATGGTTTGTCTTCACTGAACCAAGCGATGCAAGTTACAGACACTAACATGATAAAAACAATAAAAATGTTTTTAAATAAGACATTTGTTACAATTTAAGAGATAAAAACTTAGCAACAAATATATGCTACTGTAACTACTATAAGTTTCCAAAACTCTCTTCAATACATTTACACTAAATGCATTATAGCAGAGATTCGATACAATCACTTCAAAAGTGTTATTTATAAGTGACAAGAACTACCTTAATTTTACTATTTCATTCTTGTTTGGGCGGTTAGTGACCAAAAAAAAATGAAAACAGATTTTCCTCATTATAAAATTCCTCTACCATGAAATTGAGATGTGAAATAACACAAATCAGAGGGAGAAAATTACTTGTCCCTTCTTTTGCTTACATGTGTGTTTCCATATTCTATCATGTATGTTCTAATCTAACAATCTATATTCATATTTTTTCCTTATATAAAATGTTAGAAAGTTACAAAAGAAGTAAAATAATATTTATCTTTTGGAATATAATGGGGACATGGAACTGAGCAGACTGGAACAAAAGACTTCACTGCATACCTTTCTATGCAAAATATATACGTATTATTATATCTGTAGTAATATATTAGTCATTCATCTTTAGTGTTAAATACTTGTATATTTATAGCAGATTTCAAGTCTCCCTTGAAAGCTAGTAATGTCCAAGAGAAAAAAAGAGAATAATCATTGGTAGAGAAGACCTTGTTAACAAATATGTGTAAGTGAGGAAATGGGGAAAAGAAAAGGGAAATCTCTGGTGTGACAAGATAGTAGGAAATCTGCTTTCTTTTATTTTCTCATACACAAACACACACACACACTTATAAAATGTACTTTGTGTATGTGTGTGTCAGATTTCATTTTGGTGGTAATGTATGACAGGCACTGGGAGAGAAATATTTTTCAGACTACTAACTAATTAAAATGAAAATTCAACAACAGATAATTTAGAAAACAAAGCCACAAGAAATATTCACTCAGCATTTTTAAAAGCTAGTGCCAAAACAAATGACTCCATTTGAAGGGAACATTTGCTCAACTAGACTGATTATTTACCATCCTTTCGATAGCAATGCTCTAATTCTCGGCGGTGCATGGTAGACACATCAACAACTTCAATCAATCCTAGAGATCCATCCATCCGTCCCACCAACAATAATTCTGGAGACTCTCCTGACCAGGCAGTAGCTGGACCCTCTTCAGGCCAAGCCAGGGCAGAAACCCAATGAGGCTGAATATCTACTAATCCTTTTCCTCCTAAGAAGGGAGAAAACATTAACTAGTTGTTATGTAAGTCTTATGATTGATAACAGGAACAAAAATAAACATTTCTGAATTCTAATATACACTCAAAGCAATTCTCAATTTCATACAGCCTACCTATGAATAAGTGCAAGACAGGATCTTTCATTTATGTATTACCTATGACAATCAAATAGACTTTGCTCTATTAGTGAGACCCAAATGAAGCTTATAGGAGAATGAGTAAAGAAAAATAAACAGTATATAAATGGCAAACATCTATATTGTTTCCTAATAATTACAGAAAACCAAATTACCATGAAGAAAGTTACCTATAGTTAAGACTTATTTCTTCAAATATATGAGTCATAATACCATTCCTCAAAATATGCAAAGTCAAACTAATACAAAGAAGCCCAAGACTAAAATAATGATTTTTATTTTTCAGAGAGGTGATATTAAAAATTAGCAAGTGTCTGTACTTGTGAAAAAGATAAAACTGATAGAAATATTTCAAGTTATTCAAAAGAAGACATAACTGGATACTCAGTGACTGCTATGGCTCCTCAAACCCTACTCTGAGTACTTAGTGGTACACGAAAATAATTTTTGGTTTATAAATTACGAAGTTACTTGAAACTCCTAGAAAGAAAAGTTAGGAAATGAATGCTTCCTTATTAATTTAAACCACACTGTACACAGATTTTCAGTGTGGAACAGATTGTTTTAAGATGAAGGGAAGTCATTGTTTGAACTCAGAAGACTAAGAGAGAGACTTAAAAAGTACCTTCAGTAGTTTATTAGTATTTACATGGCTCTTACCATTAACTTGCCAGATATTCACCATCTTTTCCAAAGCCCCAGCTAGATATTTGCCACTGATACTCCAGGAAACAGGTGAAAAACTTGGATCACTGGGTGACCCCAAGCTTTCTTCAGCATCCCCTTCCCTAAAATATAACAGGTAAACATAGGATTCTAATATCTATAATCCAAAAGTAAACTAAACTTGAAATCTCAAAATAAGGGTTTTATATAGACTAAAGTACATAATAACAAGACTCTTACATTTGAAAAAGTTGGTTAACAGTATTTAATGATCATATGTTTACTAGTGTTTTTGACATATGTGACAACATAGAGTTATAATAGTGTTTTTTAAGCTATTTATCATTCAATGCATAATTTGTGAACAAAGACATTTTGATTCTATATGGGTTATACATGGAGTTATTATTCAGAGCATATTGATTCTTGTTTGCCTAAACTCCTAGGGGAGTTCTCAGAAAAGAAATAACTTCAGCTAACTATAAAATACCACTCTACCAAAGAATATTACATCAATTCTTAAATAATTCTTGAAGAATGATAGAAAATTAGCCTATTGTTTTACAAAAAGGAACTTTTAATTCTGAGTAAGCAGTTACTGTTACAAGTTTTATCTTATGAATTGCTATCCTGGAGACTTAAAAAAAACACATTGGAGATATGACTATTTTATATCACACTATTCTAAATGAACAGTTTGGTTACATTAACACAACAATAATAAGGTGATTTTTAGGAATCTCTTATTTTAAATGTCACACAAGAGAACTTATGCTAGCACTCACAATCTGTTGAACACACAAGTCTGTTGCAGTGAATATTGCTTCTTGGTAACACTCCATACCCGGATGGTGCCATCATTGCCACTTGTAGCCAAGAGACCTTTTTTATTACACCAAACACAAGTCATAACCTAAAAAATTGAAAAGCCCAGTAATATTAGGTAGGTTTTGATTTAAATGCTTTTATTATTTGAAAAAGATCTAACCAGTTAAAAAAAATCTATGAAATTGTAAAAGAAAAATATAATGTATTCATTTTTAAATGGCTTGTAAATATACATCTATTTGAAGTATAGCTTTAAAGTACTATCATTTATCTACCTTTTGGCTAGGATGAAGTATAGTATTGGTCCTTACAAGTTTCAGGCACTATACCCAACCTCATTTGAGTTTTCTGGGACTTGTTAGAATTTTTACTGAACAATGTTTACTGAATCAAAAAAATGCTCATTTAATTTACTACAATATTATATCAAAACATTTACATGTTCTACAAAAATAAACACCATAAAGAAGTGATTTTAAATACTATCTAATAACAGGGGTCAGCCTTCATCTACTAAACTGTCTCTGTCATTCAAGTAGATTAAAACAGTGAGGCCAACTTCTTTCCTTCTTGTCGGTATAAAGCTTTCATCTTTTTTGACGCTATTCCTTCGGGTTTTTTCTCATTCCCCATTAGATTTTTTGATTTGTATACTATGATGTCAACCCAATGTACAGTGGAGATTTGGTAACTACCAGACAAATACTGGATGTGTTTGAAATAGTGACTCACATATACACACACTCCAATACCTCAGCTGTAAGCTTTTTGAAAAGGACAGAAATTATTTTCTATTATATAAAGTGACTAACACACTTGGGACTCAAAATACATACTCTGTTCTGATGAGCCTCCAACTTGATAAAGGAGCATTTTCTGAGGTCTCCTCCCATATCAGCAAGTGTTTGTGGAGTAGTTTGGTTGTCGCGGTCATGTGCCGCAAGAGTGCGCACGAGTTGTTGAGCAGCCCATTGCCTATGCTGTGAGGACAGCCTGGAGGAGAGGCAGCAGGCTGCCAGGGCATTAGCCAGCTCCAGAGGGCCTACAGCAGAAGGATCATAGGAAGGATGGGCATACAATTGGGCAATTATACCTGCTTAAACAAAACAATGAAATGATGCCCAGGTGAGAGCTGGTGGTGGTGAACAAACAAAAATGGGTTAACCCATATCTTCTAAGAACTAGCACTTTTGTAAGCAATCATTTCACTAAGCTATGCATACAACGTATAAACATTTATTACATATCAAATTCTATAACCTGATTTAATACAAATGTACATTTATATATATCAATCAATAATCTTTGCTCTAAGGACACATAAACTAAGAATGCAAAAGAAATAATCTTAAGGCTAGGGCAGAGGCAGCATGCCCTAAAAAAGAGTTTGGTATTTGCTGCTGGAAAGTGTTAATAGCCAGTTAAGGAATCAGATTAATAGATTCAAAAGCTCATCTTTCTTGGTCAAATAGTTCTGATGAAGAGATGAGTAAATAGTAGCAATTAAGTAGTCTCTTCACAATGTTACCATTACAAGCACTATCTTCATCTTAATTTTATTAAGGAAACTACCAGGGTCTTAAGCTATGGTGATTCAAATCATAAGCTAATAAAATAATCTAGTCGAACCGAAACTAATTTGGTACATTTTCTAATATTTGCTGCCATGCACAATAAAAAAGTATCCATGCATTTCTTTTATGATATAAACTTTAGAAGTACACATTTTGTTATATAATTTATCACATACATCATTACAAAAACACATTTTTAAAACATGAATCAAATTGATTATAAAGACTGTATGTTTAATGGTATGAAACTTACCTTTCTTTTCAACTTCTGACTTATCATAGTTAGGTCTTAGTTTAGCCCCTTTGTCTGCTAGTAATGCCACAAGGGCCTGAGTTACAACAAAGTTGGGAGAGGTTACAAGTTTATTCTCTTCAGCAATTCCTCTGAGAAAGCTAGGTAGAAATTTTCGCTGAATTGGATCATCAACTGTAGTCAGATTTACACCTGTTGCAGCAGAAATCAAGTTCTGAAGAGGCAATTGGAATAAATAGGTTTACTTTTTCCATATAATTTTGGAACAAAAAGATTTCATTTCAAAAGTTCTTTAGGAATTTGTTTGAAATATGCTAGGCAATAAGAAAAGCAAGGGAAAGTATCTTACCTGTGTACACAACTGTACCAGGAGTTTAGCAGCACTGGGAGTGTTCGATGCCAGACATCCTACTGCAGTGCTCAGATAAGCCAGGCAAGAGATAGGCTTATTAGTTTTACTGTGCCCTCCTCGTGAGCGTTCTGAGGTGCTCACCATGGCAGAAGGGCTGGTGGAGAGGCCAGCTCTCCCTGCTGCTGCCAAGCACATTAATCGAACCAGTGTACGGATATCTGTAAGCCCCAGAGATTCAAGACCAGCAGCAAGGCTACAACTGGAACCACTGCCAGGAAAGGAAAATGCTTTAGATGTACAAAGCAAACAGATTACTTATGGGACTCTTGGATTCCCACATATCATTTATGGAACCAATAATAAGAACAACAAAAGCTAAACTGCACTATCATACATGTTCTAAGAGCTATTCAAAAACATATAAATAGGGAAACATTTTTAATAAATATTGCATGTAATTGAAATACAGCTAAATTATCAAAGAAAAACAAATAAGAATAGTCACAAATCATAAATTTTCTTAAAGACTTAATTTACTTATTTATAAATATAAAAGCTGGGATGCTGGCCTGAGGAACAGGGGTAAGGGTAACAGGATTCACCAGAGGCAGAGTGGTGAGTGTAGGCAAACTGAGTGAAATACACTGCTGAGGGGAGCAGCAGTTGACATAGGAGAGGTCTGCTGCACCATGTGGTTAACTTCCTGGCTGGTGACTTTACTGGTCCTGTAGTGGTTGCTGATATTTTCATAGTGCTGAGACTTAACCCCTTTACCACCAGGGAAACCCCACAAATCATGAATTCTTAAACTGAACAAACCCATGTTACTTCCACCCAGATCAAGAAACAGAACACTACCAGCACCTAAGAAGCCTTCTTGTACCCTTTTTACTAGCCTGCTTTGGGTCCTTTAAAGTAACCATTATCAGGCTCTCCCTGGTGGTGCAACAGGTTAAAGCACATTATGAAGCTCTCCAAAGTCACTGCAGTTGGATCCCCCGCCAGGGAGCTGTCCCACATGGCATGGCAGACTTCTCCTGACCCACCTGCTGCTCCTCTCAGCAGTGTATTTCAGTCAATCTGCCTGTTCTGTTCCCTACTCTGTCTCTAGTGAATCCTCTCACTCACCCACCACACCTCTGGCCTATACCCCAGTTCTGTAAGCATAAATAAATAAATCTTTTTAAAAAAAGTAACCATTATCCAAAACCGTAAAACTATATACCAGTTTTGCATCTTCATTTAAATTAATAAAGTGTATATTCTTTTTGTGACTGGCACCTTTTGCTCCTCTTGCTTACTGTAATATTCATCTGTGTTATCACATTATAACAGTAACTACTGTTTTTCATTGACTGATAAATGAAATTTACAATAATTCATTTCTTCAAACAGAAGATAGGGGTTTTGGGGAGAGAGCAAATGTGAACAGAACTGCCATGAATGTTCCTGGTTATATCTTTGTGTGAACTTATTAAGTACTATGTTACATAAATGCTCAGAAATGGATTCCTGGATCACAGAGCTTTTTAATATTTAGCTTTGGTCAGTACTATTAAGCACTTTTCCAAGGCTGTTGTATAAATTTATATTTCTACCATCAGAGTATAAGAGTTTGAAGAATTCCACATCTTAATGCTCACTACTTCCTCCATGTTGTTGTTTCAAATTTTAACCATTCTGGTGGGTGTGTGGTAATATCTCATTGTGTTTTAATTTCCAACTCTGAGTAATGATGTAAATACCACATGTTTTCCATGTTTATAGAATCTTTGGAGACATTCTTTTGTATTTTGCTCATTTTCCTTTGGGTTGTCTGTCTCTTTCTTATCAATTATAGGAATTATTTACATGTTCCTTTGGCTGCCTACACTGCCAATATCTTTTCCCACTGATTTTTTTTAAATCTTCCTAATGCTGAACATGGGTTCTTTTTTAGTGTGATATAATTCATTACTTTTTTCCTTTATGGTGAATGCCTTTCAGTTTAAGAAATACCTACTTGAGCTCTACTTACACATGGTGAAGAGAGGCTGGGATCAATCTCTCTCTTTAAAAAAAAAAACAACTATAAAAAGGACTTGTGTGGCACAGGATTAAATATCAGCAATATCAAGCTATTGCCAGCTACTGTGGCATAAGTTCAATCCCTGGCCAGGAAGCTAACCCTCCTGGCACAGCAGACCTCTCCTGTCTTGCCTGCTGCTCTCCTCAGTTGTGTATTTCAGTCAATCCACTTGTTCTGCTCCCCACTCTGTCTCTGGTGAATCTTCTCACACCCCATACCTCTAGCCTATAGCCCAGTTCTTGTATGCACAAATAAATAAATCTTTTTTTTTTAAAAAAAAGGGACTGATATGAGCTCTTAGCAAAATCCAGATGCCTTAAACCAGTTACAGAACCCCAGGACTTCTCCAGGACATTCAAGAACCAAATTGGGATTGGAGGAGGGGGGGGCTAAGAAAGCAGGTACATACATTCTCTGTAGGCACTTGACCATACCAGGAAGCCCATTCCACCCCGCTGGCCAAATTCAATCAGTGGGCTGGACCCTACTGTGTCTCATCCAATATCTGGAACTAAGAAATACCCCCAGATAAACAACATAGCCTATAGTATCAGTTGCCAGCGCCTCACAAGTGGACAGAACTTTGAACCATGAAATTATTTTTTCTTTTTGTCCTGAGCTGTAAATTAAAAACCAAGTCCTGATTGCACTGGGATGTGCATCCCTCTCAGCCCTCTGGCACCACCTAGTGAGCAGAGCCACACCTTTGAGCAGAAAGCTGTGCCACAAACATTTTTTTTTCCTCTTTTCAATTTCTTTTTATTTTCCTTTCTGAGCCAGAACACTGAAAGACTAACTGCTGGTAATACAACTCAATCAGCCCATGCCTCCAAGAAAACCAGGCCACAAGAGCCTCACGTTGCCATGACCTGCACTGGGGACCCTCAGCTGTCCCTAACTGTACCAGGAAGTACATCTCACTCAGCCTGCTTGTACCAGCCAGCAGACTGAACCACAGCCTGAGCCTCCTGGTGCTGTGTCCTCAGATGCCCTTGGATATTCCCTGAGTGGGCCCAGCATAGACCCTGATTCACTGCATCAGGGACCTTAAAATACCCCAGATGGTCTCATCAATGAGAGCCACAGGAACCCAGCCCTGCCTAACTGCCACAATGGCCCAGTGCACATCACATCCATCCATACCCCATAAGAGTACCCAGAAATCCCACCCACAACCACCCACCCAACCAGGAGTTCCCCCACTTGTGTTTACCACCCAGGCTCAAGGTAGATCCATAAATGTCCCAGTAAGAACTTCCAGTAGTCATACTTGCTGGTACAAACAATCAGGTGGTACCACACTGAACACAATCCAAAAGCAAACAGTGGGGACAAAAAAAAAAGAATACAAATGGCCAAGCAAGCCTTCCTGGGAACAATACACCACAGAAAGAAAATCAGCCTCTAGAACCCAGCAACACTGATATGGAAGGATTTCTCTGCCTGACAGATAAAGAATTTAAAATTGCTATAGTTAAAAAGCTAACTCCTCTGTTAACTCCCCTTCCTTTCTCTAGCCTTGCTGTATGCCTCAAATCTCTCCCTGGTGGCATAACAGGTTAAAGCACTGCGTTATGAAGCTCTCGGAAACCACTGCAACACGAGTTCAATCCCCCACCAGGGAGCTGACCCATATGGCATGGCAGACCTCTCCTGACGTGCCCGCTACTTCCATCAGCAGTGTATTTCAGTTGATCTGCCTGTTCTGCTTCCCACTCTGTCTCTAGTGAATCCTCTCACCCTCTACCTCTGGCCTATACCCCAGTTCCATAAGCATAAATAAATTATAAAAAATACAGTTAAGAAAATGACTAAAAGAATGCTATGAGAAATATACAACAAACAGAAGAATAAAATTGAAACTTTAAAAAAAAATAAAGGAAATGCAGGATGTTAAAAGATCAATAAGGAATAAAAATTCTAGAAAAGCCACGGATGCCATATAGATGAAATGGAGTAACAATCACTACACTGAAAGATATAGCTATAAAAAGGGGGGGGGGGAGGAAAGAGAAATACATAGGAAAAAGAATGAAGAAACACTTCAAGGGAAATATCTGACATGATGAGGAAAGGAAATACACAAGTTACAGTAATCCCAGGAAGAGGAGAGAGGGACCAGGGAGCTGAGAAATTATTTGAGGAATTAATTTCCAAACTTGAAGAAGGAAATGAAAATATACATACAGGAAGCTAAAAGAACTCCAAACTACCATAATGAAAGGAAACTACAGCAAGATGCATACAAGTAAAGCTTCCAAGAATCTAAGACAAAGAAAAAATAATGATGCTGATGAAGGGGGGGAAAAAGATAGTCTATAAAGGAAAACTGACATCAGCGTTCTCTGAAGAAACACAATCGGCAAGACAAGAATGGAGTGACGTATTTATAAAAACCAAGACAAAAAAATTCCAATCAAAACCACTTTACACTACAAAGCTCTCCTTTTCTGAGGGAAAACAAAGGCCTTCTTAGACAAATATAATCTTCAGAAATTTGCTGCTACTACTACCAAAATGTGCCCAAACAGATGAATGGCTCAAAAGCTAGGGTATATTTACAAAATGGAATATTACTCAGTGATTAGTGATCAAAAGTGACAAACTCATGCCATTTGCAGCAATGTAGGTAGAGTGGCAAGTATTTATGCTAAAATAAGTCAGAAGGAAAAAGATAAATATCAGATAGTTCCACTTATATGAGAAACACAGAAAACTCAAACAAAAGGTCAAGAAAAAGATAAAACTAGAGAGCTGACCATAGATTTGAGGCATACAGCAAGAGAGAGCGAGGAAAGGGAGTTAACAGAGGGGAGGCAAAAACACATGGGAATATGGTGATGGTTCATGGGTGATATGGTGGTAGGAGAACTATGGGGAATACACCTGAGAAGAGAAACCAATTACTATACAAAAACTAACAGCAATTTAAGAAAAAAATAATAATAATGTAATTTTTAAAAAATCTACCTATCCCAAAAAACAAGAATTCCTCTCTGTTAATTCATAGAGACTTCATTAATTCAATTAATTAATTAAGTTAATTTAATAATTCATTAATTTATCTTTCACATTTGGATATAAGAGCTACTTAGAAGTATTTGTTTTAGGTAGTATAAGGTTGGGACCAAAACTCATTTTTTCCCCCATATGAATCAATGATATTATAGTCAAAGTTACTGAAAAGACCATCCTTTCCCCCACTGCTCTGCAGTGTAAATTACTGTCAGAAGTCAAATAATAAATGAAATGCGTATCTATATTTGTTAATCATTTTCTGAACTCCTTTGTTGTTTAAACTGGCTTTTGTTAAGCCAATACCATGCAGGTTTGTCTACATTTAATTTTGAGATTTTTCTTTCCAGGTCCTTTTTGCTTGCACTAATTTACTGTTAAATACCCCTGTTTAATCATTTTTTAAGTGGATGCTTTAGGTATTCTTAATTTTTAATATTATACTCTAGGTCATGAACATGATCAGAACATCTGTAATGGAATTTGCAGGTTAATTCATCTACACAGTTGGTCAACTCTGCAGAAAACTCATTCAATCTTTTAGTTTGACCCTGCATCAAATGAGTCAACAACCTCCTTTTCCCATTTCATATTACAAAATAAAATATTTGCAGTTTACTTATAATTGAATTACTTTCTACATAAAAAGCCAAGTATTAAGTGAGTAACTGAATCAGGTGAGGAGCTGATATGTGACTTCTTCCATTTAATAGTAAATATTCCAGTTTCTAAAAATTCTCTTATCCTCCCAAACAATAGCTAGCCCAGCAACACTTGATACAGAATAACACTTACCTAACTGAGAGAAGTGACAGAGCTCTCATGACCATGGTTCTGGCCAGAAGAACCTGAGCAGCAGCAGTCACTCTTCGTAAAGCTATCACCCGGTCGTGAGGGTTTGCCAAGGCAGCTGCCTGCTCACCTAATGTTATTCTCCCAGAAGAACTCTTTTCTATAGAGCCATGACAACCTGAAAAATATAAGATTTTGTTTTCTTCTCATCAGTAAGAAGAAAACTATCCAGACTACTGAAAAATTTTTGCATTCAAACTTGGTTCCAAACTGCAAGGACATTATAGCTAGTTAATGTGCTTTGTGACTCATCTGGAATTCTGTTATGAAGAATATTCCTTGGGAAAAAGAGATTTTTTCAAGACTATAATAATTTGTTCATGAATCATTCTGATATTACCAAGTACAGGGAAGTTACAATTTTTTAAAATCCACTTTGAATATACATAAAAAGCAGAGTCACCATCACTTTATTTTGTATTCCTTACAGCAAAAAACCTTCTTCACACAATTTTTAAAAAGGCCACAGAATAGTTTTTAGTCAGTTACAGGATCTTCTCACAAATTAAAAAATATTTTTCATTTTATAAATTTTCTCTTACAACTTTGACAATTCATAAAAACAAACAAAACCCATAATATTACATTACACTTCCAAAATGTTAAAAAAAAAAAACTGGCTAAAGATATAATATGGGGTGACATATGTTAAAACTCCTTACTATTATTTGCCATTATCATATTATTTTTGTACTGTTTATACCTATATTTTGCACTTAATATTTCTGTATTCATACTTCTGTACCTTGTTTTGGTACAATTAATATGATTTGGTACAAGTTAATATGAACTCTATAAAATCAATACCGATCAACATTTCAGTTTACCTATTTGCATCAGGGTCTCTTCCATACTGTTGGTGGCTGTTACCATTGCTACTGAAGCTCCTAAAGGATCACTATCAGGGAACTGAACAGGCTCTGGTACAATGCGTCGGTCATTTAAACCAAGTGGTCCAGCAAGTAATTCAAACTCTTCTTCGCCTGTTAGCTTTTCATCTTCATCAACATCCAACATATCCCAGTCTTCTGCAATTTAAATAAGTATATGAATTTTAAAAAAAGGTATGATTACTCTGAGATATGCCTATAAAGCAAATAACAGGAAGCCAAGAACCCACAATATCAACTATAGCAACATTTCCTGGTGACCTAACCAGACTAAACTTCTGAGGCAGTGAGACTCTCAGGAAAAGGATGTCATTGCAGCAGGATCCACTTAAAGCAACAACAAATGTTATAGCTGGTAATAGAGGTTTCAAATAAAAAAAAGTATTATCATGGGCTAACAAAGAGTTCTTAATCCTATCCATGATTATCAGAGAATGAGTTATTTCAATGATGAGTTATTTAAATGAATACTGCAGAAAAACTGTTGCTTAATTTAATTACTTTACTTTTCTCAGTTATAATGGAAAATTCAATACTTCCCCACTTTGAAAAAAAAAAAATATATATATATGTCACACAGAAATTAACATCTTTTGGGACAGTCAGTTTTTGAACTCAGCCCTCTGCCTTTAACTTTTAAAACTAGAGTTGTTGCTATCAAACTGTCTTGAGCTTTTTAGGGAAGGTTTAGGTTGACATGTACATATGTACAAACACATACAAAGGTAAATTTTAGTAACAGATGTTAAGCAAAAGGCATATATAACAACACATGTAAAATAAAGAATCTCTCAAAACAACTACCTTCATATACACTGTCCTGCTTGCCAATTAGATCTGGAGCTTGTCCCTTGTACCTGCACCAACATGAAGAACATTGTACTTTTACATAAAACAGTTAGTATCCCAAACTGCAAATTAAATCATTAGAACATTTTAAAGAGTCATTAATAAAGCAACACAAATTTAAAGTGTTTCATGTTATAGGCTGATGTAATAAAAACTATGGTATAAAAGTCTATACATGCTTACAACATCAATAACCATTTGCCAACGTTATTGAAGTGATTTCTGAGTCACCTATAAATCTTTCAGTCAAAATCTACTTTAGACTGTCTTAAAGGGGGGCCCTTCCTGGTGGCACAAAGGGTTAGGGCACAGCATTGTAAAGCTGGCCATGGCTGCCTCGGTGCAAGTTTGATCCCTGCCTTGGAGGTGATCCACATGGAGCAGCAGACCCCTCCTACCTCACCCGCTGCTCCCCTCAGCAGTGTACCTCATTGAACTGCCTGTTCTGCTTCCCACTCTGATTTTGGCAAATCCTCTCACTGCCCCTGTACCTCTGTACCTCAGCTCAGTATACATAAGTAAATAAATAAATCTTAAAAAAAAAAAAAAAGAATGTCTTAAAGGGTTTACTAGTTGGCAGTAAGTGCAAAAATCCTATTTAAGGACAAAAAGAATATTTTAATGGAAGCTCATTTAAAATAAGTTATTTTTACATCAAGAAAAAGATCTTAATTTGTCAAAAATACAGTGGGAAATACCACTGAAAAAAACTAACCTTAAGCCTCCTGCAGATTCTGCCCATAACTTGTTAACAAGTCAAAGGTTAACAGAATCAAGTTCCCAGTGTAGGAACCGCTGCTATGTGCTAATAGATTATAGGTTCCCAGTTATAGCAAGCACATAAATTCCTCAACTTCCTCCATCCTCCCTGCCCGAATTTAGCAATCACTGCACTTTAGAAAATGTTAAAAAGAACTCCTCATATTTTTTTTTTAAAGCCTTAATGAGAGGTATTTTATATTATTCATTCAGAGGCTTTGGTTATCTATACAATTTCAAGATACCTTTCAGAACTTGTTGTCTTAGATTTGGTCTTCAGGGCTAAGTACTTCTCCCTGCAGCTGCCACAAAGCAGATAGTATGGATTTCCACTCCCACATTCACCACCAAACCAGCCATCCACATAGGAGCCGTTGCTTCGATAGCCCTGGCGATTTGCACTACGCCCACAGCCTGGGTGATTTCTCTTCATGTGCTGATTGAAGTTGACGACACTGCATTCACACAGTTCACACACCACCACTTCTTCTCTGTCTTCAGATTCACAAACATGCTGCACAAAGTGATTTCATATCAAATTATCAGTCAATTTAACAAAAATTAAAATAAGGTAAGTAGATTATGATATTAAATTAGCTACTTTGATTACATATTTTGGAATATTTGCAAGTTGTTTATTAATGCTACATATAACAAATTTCTTTCAAACTAGAACTCAGGTCATACAATCTTAAGTATTTCTTTGCCCTCCTCAACCTAACTTAAAATAAAAGTAACTGCTACCCTCCTGAGAAGAGTTAATAAACCTTACAACCTGTCACATCTCAAATGATTTGCCTTTAAAAATCCTTACTTAGGGCCCTCCCTGGTGGTGCAGCAGGTTAAAGCACTGCACAAAGAAGCTTAAGCCACTTACGCATGAGTTCGATCCCCGCCTGCCCCGGAGGAGATCCACATGGCGTGGCAGACCTCTCCTGACCCGCCCGCTGCTCCCCTCAGCAGTGTACTTCGTTGATCTGCCTGTTCTGCTCCCCACTCTGTCTCTGGTGAATCCTCTCACCCTCCGCATCTCTGGCCTGTACCCCAGTTCTATCTGAATAAATAAATAAATCTGAAAAAAAAAAATCCTTACTTATCATCTGGCAATAATATGCCAGAAGATATGAATAATATGAATTTCTATAAAGTCATTAGGATTTACTTATTTTATTAACTTAATGAAGTTACACCTATGAATTTTTCAGTCTTTCTGTTACAAAAGTGGAACACTAAATAATGTAAACATACAAACCCAACCTCTATTCTACCCCTAGACACAGATATTTAAAAGATATAGTTGGGCACTGGTTCCTAGAATGAGGCACTACAATGATAAAATGGAACCTATGGAGAAAGCATGCGTTTTGATGGCAAGGTGCGCACAATAGCTACTTTATATATTCAACAAAATTTGCTGTGACTTAATGACTGTTTTGTAATCTATCTTTGATGTTACCAAAATATGGCTCTATGCATCTAGTCTAGGGTAAGAAGCAATAAAATCACCCAGAGAAAGCAACAAGAGAAACTTTACATTAGTTTGTAGATGTTAAAGTAACCTCAAATGTTAGTGCCCCAAATGTTAGGATGAGATGTAAGGTTTCTTAGAGTTTAACAACTCTAGGTAAAATGTTATTATCAAAAACTGAATGAACAGGAGGGCAGGAAAGTAAGTCAGAGCAGCCCCCGCTGCAGTCACACACACCCAGGTAGGCCAATCCAGTACCTCTGGGATCCACATTCCCAGAATATCATTGTCACTGGTCAGGTCTTGTCCAAACATAGCTTCCATTGCTTCATCATCAAGATCAATTTCCAATTCCTCATCTAAATTAAAGTCGTACAATGCCCCTGCGTCTTGCTGCAAAGATATTCCTTCTCTTCGACTTTGATTCCTATGGGCCTGCACAGAGCGGTATAACCCCGCTCAGAACAAAACAAAAAAGGTATTTTATTTGCATGCATAAAGCAATTCTGAATATTTTGCCAGTTCTTAACTGTCATACATGTATATGAGAACCTATCTCAGTTGACTTACTTAAGTCTAAACATATGATCATAAACATAAAATTGTGCGTATCACAAGTGTCACCTCTGTAAAATGATGACAATATCATTCATACCTCAGAGAGCTGGCGATAGGTTTAAATAAGATAATATATGTAAAATATTTTATGTTTATGTTATAGAAAAATGTGGGCTATTATTATTTTAGGTGTTTTTTTTTTTAATTTTCCCTTTCATTATATGATAAATATACACCTTATATTTTGTAGGACAGTATCCATTTCTCTGTTCCCATAAGTTACTGTGTCATTTATATTTTACTACATCAAGGATCAAACTCTTTTTTGATATATCACATACCTTAGTTTTTAGTTTGGAAAATCTGTTTCCTAAAAGTTATGCCTCACATGCTCAAAATACAATTTTATAAGTAATGTAAACTTTTATCTTTGCCAGTAGGGCTTTACCTAGTGGGGAAGACCCAAGTTCCACAGTGTTAATCAGAAAAATCAGTGCCTAGTTCTTTCACACAATATGCTTTCCAGCAACTTCTCAACACTGATGTTAAACTTTTAAACATGCATCTTCATTTCTTAAATTAAAAATTAAATATAAATTGTTCAGAACAAAGAGAACATTTACAAAACTCAATATCTACAAGTTACCAACAGAGTCTTCTGTTCTCAGAGGAAATTTAAAAAAATAAATCTATGAACACTGTGATTTCCATCATGTAAAATTATGTAGATAATTGTTCTATTACAAAGAATTGAAAACTTAGTATCATTAGTTTATATCTTTAGTGTGCGTTTAAAGTGATTTTAAAAAAGAAACAAACTGTGTGATACTTGCAACAAGAGAAGGATGAGAGACATAATTACCTGCTCTTGCTAGCAATGTGCGAGCAGCTAAATCAAACTTGTGCCTTCTTGTTACTGCTGAGCGACCTCTAGCTGGCGGTCCACTTCCAGAAGCTGCATTCTCTGCATGATCCATATTATCAGGGCTACAAGTTTGAAAGCAACACATTTTTTTTTTTTGCCTTTTTTAAAAATAATAGTTTATTTTTACATTTTGTGCCTTTTTTCATCTCAGTTTTAATTCCCCGTGGGCTTCCCATCACCAGATTACCTGTGTGTCATCACCACAGTCTATTGCACTTCCTCCCCCCATTTCTGATCCCACTCCCCTGTAAAATCTCTCTGGTATATAGTTGTTTATTATTATTATTATTATTTTCTCTCATGGTCCTTTATACTCCTGCTATAAGTGAAACCATCTGGCATTTTTCTTTTTCTTTCTGGCTTATTTCACTAAGCATGATCCCTTTCAGCTCCATCCATGTTGCTACAAAAGGCATGTGTGTATTTTTTTTTGGTTGCTGAGTAATATTCCATTGTGTATATGTAACACATCTTTTTAGCAACACAAATTTTTAAAAACCACCACAAATAAAAAGCACAAAAGTACAAATTTGTTGGTAGGGCTACTTTTGCCTCCAAATATTACCAAGTTTTTTTAAAAAAAACTTTAAAGCCTATCTATTGTCCCTCCCAAAGCACCTAAATTCAAAATAGGTCATACTGGCCTGAACAATAATGTTATCTGATTTTTTTAACTATGCCAATGATTAAATTATACTTACTGAATAATAAAATTCAAAAGAAATTGTTGATCTTACCTAAAATCCTAACTGATTAAATACTTAAAATATGAAATGGTTAGGAATCCTTGCTTAGGAGAAATAGGTTTATTTTGAAGTACATTATGAAATATATTCACTAAGCTTGGAACAAAGTCTACATTTTATGTAAGACAAGTCTTGTTAACCATATGACTTCATGGACTAAAATGAAACTTTATAGTAAAAAATACTGAAGGGGAAGAATTTAGGAAGAAATATTATTTTATAGAATATTTTATTTCATCTCATTTTAGACTAACTTTCTTTTGATACTTAAAAAAAAGGATATCTTGTAACAAAAACAAAAGATGAAAATAGAGACAGGAGAGATTTAAAAGTCCATTTCTAGCAAATGCATTTATTAAATCAATTTCTAATACTAAAATGAACATTTTACCAATTATGCTGATCACATATGAGATTAAACTTTTCTATCGGGATGTTTATTTCAGAATAAATCTGTTTTAATTTTCACGTTCCTCAATGCAGTTCAATTTTATATAAAAGCGATTAATTTTATTCTTTTCATGAAGTTATCCATTCAAAGTCAAACTTGTCATTTCTACCCTTTACAGAAACAGACATTTTTAACTGTAATGTTAACTTTTTCATGTATCTCTAACTTATAAGTTTTACACACCACAAGAAGTATCTATAAAGGGAAATAAATGGGGTTTTTATATTTATAAAACACAGAAAAGGAATACAGAAGTTGGAATTTTTACCTCTCACTAAAGCCCTCTTCTATTTCAGCAGCATCAGCTGATGGTATGTCTCCTGGTGATTGCAAATAACAGGGGTCATTTGACTTCCCACCACTGCCCAGGACTGCTGCTCCATGCCTTGAGTCAGCTGCGCTACCTGACTGGGGCTCTTCCTCATCCTCATGCCCAGGGTGTTCTATCATCCACATGGCAAGGACAGTGATGTTCTGGGCATCAGCCTCTCCTCGAGCACCTCAAAGGAGTAAAAAAAAAAAAATTTTGATTAGTGACCTGGGGCAAAATAATGTGTTATTCACACTACAGTTTGAGAATGTCTATTATGATGCCACTAAAACTAAATCTTGTGCTAAAAATCTTACCAAGTATATGGTCTCTTAAGAAAAATGAGATCAGACTTGTCTTATCTGTATATATATATATATATATAAATTTATCCTACCTGTGGCTTCCATGGCTTTGGCAATCTGCCGGAGAGAGAATCCCATTTCCAGCAAGGGTACTGCAATTGCTGGAGGTGGAGGAGAAGTTGAAAGCCTACTGCTTGGATCCGATAAGGCTGAGACAAAACAAAGAAAATGCCTAAATATCACTCCACACCACCAGTAAAGATTGTTCTTATTGTAACCACAAGTCTCCAATATCTTAATACTGTCAAACTTAATGATTTTTGTTCAAGTTTTACTCTTAAGAATTTGCTAAATTTCACATTATTAATAGCTACAGTAAATTCAGGCAGTACAAAACAATGATTCTTGAAAGAATTAAAATAAATGGGGTGAGGTGCACAACCACCTTAGCTTTTGCCCAAAGAGAATTTATCCAGCACAATGCAATGTAGAGAGGGTGACTTTAAACTAAACTAGGTGGTCTCTATAAGTTGATTACACAGAGTGGAGAATTCAGGAAGGTCAAGGTGTCTAGAATTCATAGGGAAGAACACCAGAAAGGAAAGAGCTATACTGAAAGGAGACAACTGCAAGGAAAGAAAACTCCAGAAAAATGAAGTGACAGTTTTCTTCCCCTTAAGTCTTCAGGTATGCATAAGCAGCAACTATCCAAAGCTAGGGAAATAACCACCCAAGAGGAGAGGGAACAATCCTATAACTTATACAAGGATGGGCAAGTTTTTGTTACCACATACCTGAATGAAAAACTTTGTCATGCATAATAAACCATTGGGAAAAGACTGTAAAAGGTTAGAATGAGGAGAAAAACCAGACCCCAACTAAAAGCTCCACTGGCCCCACCTAACAAAGCGAAAAAGGAAGTTTTAAAGAGAATCATTTCCAAGTGACTCAAGTATAACCTAGAATAAACTAAAACTTACTGAAGGAAATACAAACTAGAACCAAACAAGGTAAAATGGAAGTTAAATAAAAAGTTTACAGTCAATTAAAAAAAATCACCAAATATGCAAAGATAACAGGGAGAAAATGAGGTGGAAAACCAGCAAGTAGTAACAAATCCAGAAATGAAATAGATGATAAGTAAAGACGGACATAAAAACAGATAGTGTAAGTACAAGTGAACCTCATTACTTTGTTACTTCATCTTGTCAAATTTTCCATACATTAATATGTAATTCCCCAACAATAATCAAGATACTTTTTCATTCACAGACATGTACAAAATTCAGTTTTTCCATGTATTTGTTCTCAGCAAAGGCTGAACAAAGTATTTCTTCTCTGCCTTTGTGTTTTTAGTCTCAGACTGCAAACAACTGTCCTTTTCACAGTTCACTTAGTATTTTTGTATTTTATTTTTTTATTTCTGTACTTTTTGACTTGACTGTTTAAAATAGACCTCAAGCACAGTGATGAAGTGCTGTCTACTTTTCCTAAGAAGGCTGTTATGTGCCTCATAAAGAAAATATATCTTAGATATAAAATTCATTTGGGAATGAGTTATGGTATTGCTGACCATGTGCTCAAAGCAAGATATCTGAAATATGATGTGTTCAAATAGAAACATACATAAAGCAAAGTTACATGTTGATTGATGCATAGAAACTCAGCCCTGTATTTCACTGAGAGCAACTGGTATTCACTTTCTAAACTGGTGTAACTTCTAGAGCATAGTTGTTCTAATAATAAATACAGATTATTATTCCATGTAACTCAGTAACTCACAGGAAAGATTGAGTTTGTGTTAAAGACAGGGAGGGAGAAGACGTCGATCAAAGATGAAAACTACAATGTCTGAATGGAAAAACACCATAGGTGGGATTAAGAGCAATTAAGACACTACAGGTGGAAAGATTAATGAACATGGGATATAACAATTGAAAAAAAAAACTATTAAAAATGAAAGAGTTAAAAAAAAAAAAGCACCCCCCCCCCCCCAGCAGGCATTAGTCATCTGTGGGACTTCCAATGCCCTAGTATACATATAGGAAATGGAGGAGATGGGGCAGAAAAACTCTTAAAACTCATAGGTAAGAAAATTTCTAAATTTAACTACTACAGCTAACTGAAAAATCACAGAAACAAGAAATTTAATAATCTCCAACCATAAGAAATCTACACCAGGGCAGATCATATTTAAATAGCGTAAGCCTAATGATAAATAGGAAAAGCTTAAAAGCAGCCAAAAAAAGGGCATGTTACATCAGGACTTTAACAACAAATGACTTATCTTTGGAAATAAAACAAGTGGGAATATGGTAAAGCAAGACAGTAAACTACTGAGAGAAAAAAAGACTGTCAATCAAAATTAGTGCCCAGTGAAAATATTTTTCAAAAATGAAGGTGAGATAGACTCTGGCAGATATAGAAGAGTCAGAAGACTTCACTAGCAGACCACTCTAAGAAACATTAAAGGAAGTCTTTCAAGCAAAAGGAAATGATATCAGATGGAAAGCTGGATTCATGTAAAGTAAGAATCTTAGAACAGTTGAGTGTGTCACAGTATGAAATAGATCAGTTTTTTAATCTCTTTAAAAAATAATTGACTTCGCAGCAAAAACACTAACAATATATTATGAAAGCTAATTGTATTACAGTAAAATTACATAAGCTAAGAAAGGGGAAATGAAAGCCTATTGTTAGGTTTTTTTCTTTTAAGTGTATACTAAATGATATACTTGAAGGTACTATAATTAAATATGTATAACATAAACCTGAAAATAATCCCTAAAGCTACAATACAAAGTATAGCTAATAAGCCAACAAAGGAGACAAATGAAATAATAAAAAAATACTCATTTAACCCAAAAACATAAAAGTAAGGGACAGATAAGATAAATAGAAAGATGGTAAAATTAAACACAACCATATCATAGCAACATTAAAAATGAAGGTCTCAATACTCCCGTTTTCCAAGTGCACATGAAATGTTTATCAAACCAAACCATACTCTGGTCCATAAAACAAGTCTCAACAAATCTAAAAGGATTTGAATTATACAAGGTATGTTCTCAGATGACAATAAAATTTAAAAACAGTATCTGGAATATCCTCTAATATTTAGAAACTAAATAGCATACTTCTAAATAACCCCTATATCAAAGAAGATATCAATGTTAAATAAGAAAGCATTTTAAACTGGATAAAAATTAAAAAACAGCATTTCAAATTTTGGATTGTAGCAAAAATTTGAGACTAAAAATGCCTCTATTAGAAAAGAAATATAGCTTCAAAACAGAGAAGAGAGTTCAATTTGATGTAGTAGACCCTCCTTTAATTAAAATCATGCCTTTACACACATCTCGGGTATCAAGAGGTTTGGGCATCATAGTGCATGATGGCAAACACACCTGTGCGATTAGCTGGTCTTGCTGACTGGGAATCAGGAGAAGTTAAGCTTTGCCTTCTTCCTACTTCATCAGAAGGAGAAGTTGGTAATGATGATATTGGAGGAGTCTGTGCACGACGTGTGGGAAGTACAGTAGTAGTTGGGTAACTAGAGAACATTTGCCTTTTAAGAATACAATAATGGTTAGCATTAAAATCCAAATTGGAATATAAATATATACATCACAATCGTCTTACAGAAGAATATGCAGCCTAAACACTATGCAGGTTAGTCATAGTTTAATGAGAGGGCGGGAAAGGAAAATAAGAAATCCAATTTTAAAGTTCATTATTTCATAAGGCGATTTTACTATAAAAGAAATAAAAACTTATCATTTGTTAAGCAAAATGTTGGCAACTAGTAGAGAAAAGAAATATAGCAGTTAACAAAACAGACCAAAAAAATATCCCTGGTGGGGCTTCCCTGGTAGCCTACTAGGGGTTAAGTCTCAGTGCTGTGACAAATAAGGCCTGAGTTTGATCCCCAGCCAGGGAGCTGACCCACATGGTGTAGGCAAACCTCTTCTGTCTCACTGTTTCCTTTAGCAGAATATTTCAATAGGTCTGTCTGCTCTGCTCCCCACTCTGTCTCTGGTGAATCTTCCCCACTTCCTGCCTGTCTGGTCTAAACCTCAATTCTGCTATGCAAAAAAAAAAAAAAAAAAAACTTAAAAAAAAAAATCCCCGTCTTCATGGATTTCTCCTTCTACTATAATGCAAGTATTCCCTGCTAACCAAAAGTAGATTGTTTTTATTTGGAATGATTTAGTAAGATTATTATTGGGTCTGTGAATGCTATAACCATTAATTTATATGCATTTTCAAACATTTTTGAGAATTCTCAAGCCCAAAAAATAATGTACCAAATCATATGAAATAGAACATTCTACTTTGGGACAGCAGGATAAACCTGTACCAAGTGACAGGGGCATTTTGATAGGTTAAAGGATAAAGAAGATTTTTAAAGACTGATAACTTATTAGTTACTTCAAATATAAAATTTCTAGCCTCCCATGATAATCTTAACTCATCTTAATACAAAATAGTAAGTCTTTATGTAAATTTTGAAAATAAAATATATCTGTCTACTCAACCAGCACAACTGAAAAATTGCCTATGAATGATACACCAGCTGTGCAGAGGAAAGATATAGGAGAGGCAGCCCCCCTCAGCTGAGGAGGACAAAGCTGGAAAAGACCTTCACTCACTGACTCTACCTCTTATTTGTCCAATATAATGACAATAATATCAAAAAACAAAACAAAAAAAACTATCTACCCACTCCAAATAACTGTGATATCATGGTATACACATAGGGGCAGTTATCCCTGACTTATCCCTGAGTTATCCCTGAACATCACTAAATGATGTTCAGTCAAGCAGAGACTACTACAATTTTAATACAATATCCATCAATAGCAAGGAAATGAGAACTAAGAAGAGTCATAACACCTGGCAAATGCCACCAAGAGCAAAAGGACATCACTTTACTTTTACCATGCCTACAATGCAGAGTTACAAAGACAACAAAGAGTCACAGTGCTGCTGACACTCCATGGATATCTTGAGCTGCATAATTTCCAGAGGGATTAAAAACTATATTTAGGCTTTGCTAGCATTCCTTTTTATCTCCTCTGTTGAAGCACTTCGGAGAACTGTTTTAGTTAAACAAGAGACTTAGAGACAGATGATTTGAGGACTGGGCAAAGCAGTTACTGTTCCTTCTGCCCAAGACCAAACCAATAATTCTCAAACTGGGAACTATAGACCAGTGCATCAGAATTACTGTGGAAACTAAGTCCAAAAGCAAAGGATATATCCTTCCAGAACAACTGAAGGATACTTGCTGTGGGACAAATTCCCAAAGACTTTACAAGGCTCTTCAAGTGGCTCTTGTGTACACTTGAGAATTCACAATTACCATAATAGTCACACTCCTATTCTCTACGTGTCAATCTACCCACTAGGAATAACAACTACCTGTCAATTAAGGAAAGGGGAGGACAGAAATAAGAAAAAAAGGAGACCAACCCTTCTAATTCACTTTATTTTATTTAAGAACTAGTAAAGAGACACAAAAACACTGATTGAAAAAGATACCTGCACCCCCATGTTTATTGCTGCTTTATTCACAATTGGAAAGACATGGAAACAGCCCAAATGCCCAAAAATGGATGAGTGGATTAAAAAGATGTGGTACATATACACAATGGAATATTACTCAGCAACTAAAAAAAAAAGAAACACATGTCACTTGCAGCAACATGGATGGAGCTAGAAGGGATCATGCTTAATGAAATAAGCCAGAAAGAAAAGGAAAAATACTGATGGTTCCTCTCATAGCAGAAATAGAACAGAACAGATGAGAAAATGATGAAAAGCTGTATACCAGAGACATTTTGTGGGGGTGGAGCAGGGAATGCGATAAAAAACAGTGGGGGGGGTGGGAATTGCACTGGACTATGGTGATGGCACATGGGTGATTTTGGGTGATTTGGTGACTGGAAGCCCAAGGGAATTGCAAATGAGATGGAAAAATGCACAAAATGATGTAAAAATAAACTATTATAAAAATAATAAATTATATATATATATAAAAAAAGAACTAGTAAAGAGAGCTCACAAAATGGTCCCTCCCGAAACATCTTCTTTCAAGGTTTTCATTTTGTGTGTACATTTGGCAAACTGAAATAAATTATTTAGAATTTAGAAATCTATAGTGTTGGCTAAAGCAGCATTATAAATCATGCTTTTTCAATATGATCTTATAACAACAATAAAAGTATAGCTAAGGAATTATGTTTAAATAGGAAGAAGCATACTAGAAAATTATTTTCACGGAGGTGAGCTCTTTCTTGAAGTTTATATCAAAAGTACAAGTTTTCATTTTTTTAAAGAAGTCAAAAGATTAGCCAAAAAAAAAAAATCATCATAAGAACAAATTTTGGAGTACCTAATGGTCAACAGCATAGCTGATCAGATCTGGGACCACAGAAAGGGATGGAAGACCTGGGCAAATTATTAAATGTGTGAGCACATTTCCAATTCCAGTGAGGTTGATTTGACTATTTGTGATCTCTTAGGTTCCTTTTTTTTTTTTAAAGATTTATTTATTTATTCATATGGAACTGGGGTACAGGTCAGAGATGTGGCGAGTAAGAGGATACACCAGAGACAGAGAGGGGAGCAGAACAGGCAGATGGAATAGGTACACTGCTGAGGGGAGCAGCAGGTGGATCAGGAGAGTTCTGCCTTGCC